AACAAATTATTAAAGGAAATCCACTCTTTAAGATCATCCAAAGGTTCCACTTGCAACACTTTAGTATATTTGACCACCCTTGTCATTAGATCTCTTGAATGGTATATCATATGACTACCAAATTTTCAGAACATGGTGTACTACTTATCATTAATCATAACAATGTATATGTTCTTGCAAGTCATCATATGATATGACGTTATGATGACGTCCCATTGTGATTTTATTGCCTAAAACCATTTAAATACAATATTCTCGTAAAACAATGGTATACAGCACAAGTTTAACAAAAAATGTTTATTATAGAACATTTAGGTATACTAAAACGTATGTTGCCTATACCGACACCAGTGACGTCTTAAAATTATGTTAAACTATCCGTCATCTTGGATCGTCTATCTTGAATTTTCGAAATTGTTTTTCAACATAAAGCCTACACGCAGGTATGTTATTAGGTGTCCGCAGGTATGTCCTCTTGGACAACACCTGTGAAGTTAGTCTGTGTTAGTTCTTTAAAAAGGTCCCAAAAGGCTGTTCTGTTATTATCTGGAAGATTTTGCAATTCCATCAGACAGTTAGTTTCTTGTTTCGTATTTGGTCTGGTTTGCTGAATTCTTTTTTTTTTAAATTTCTGAATAAGCTTTCTCTTACGAGTTGATTCTTTGGGTTGTTTTATTCTGTACGTGTTTCATGGCAGGTCTTGTCAAGCCATTTTTTATTATTTTTAAATACTATTGTCGTCTTTTTGCCTCTAATTTGTAGGGGCATCATTTTTTTAAACTCTAAAATGTCTTGAAATCCCCGTAGGTTTTTCGTTTACCTTTTTCGTTGACTGAATTTAGGGAGAAAAAACAAGACTTTTGTTGCTCTATGATAGAGCCAACATGCCAAAAATGGGCAAAGATGTATGTTGCCACGCCGTAAATATTAAGAGAGTAGACAAGACAGGAATTGTTCTGTGATGCAGTGATGTATTTAATTCCTTGTATATAAGATGGTGATTTTGTATATGTGATGTTCCCACTTAACAAAACCATTCGTGTACAATGATTGAAAAATATATTTTTCAAAGTTTTTTAGTGTAAAATTCATGCTGTAATAGTTCGCAGTAAACTAAGCACAATATAGGTATGACTTCATGTTCAACAAGGTTTACGATGACAAAATTGAAATTGTAGGAATCTTGTATTTTGGGGCCCGCTTTGTTTTTTTTCCGCCCTATTGTATTAGATTTGGAGCATGTGGAGTATGTCATTCATAAAATTGGCCTTATGCTTATAGGTACCATACAATGGTTTGAAAACTTAGTCGATTGGTGGACTTCAAAGAAATTAATGTTGTAAAACAGTGATATACAAGAGATGGCGTAGTCTACCGTGCTACAGATGTTAGGATGGTAGCACGTAATTCTACCAATCAAGTCGCCCTATTCTCTTTAGTTTGTGTAGATCGGTCTGTACACATAAGTCTATGAGACATATACTGAAACAATTAGCTTGGTTTCTGTCGGTAAATTTTTTTTCGGGATGTCTACGTTGTGGGCGGGAGAAAGTGGATCCAGCTCAAAATCTAGGGTTTCTTTAACACGTAAATCTTATAAGGACCCAATTCTGCTGTTGAAGTCTCCCCTAAGGGTTACGTTATCTTTGGACTTAAAAGAGTGTTATGTCCTGCTCTAATACATTTAAAAAGAATCATGAACTGCTGTGATGACGGTGGAATATACAGGACTAATGTACACATTACATATATATACATCTTTGGACAAACCTAGCAAATCTTTTGACACCCAAAGCCACCCAATAAGTCATTGTAGTCAGAAGTTCCACGCTCACTCTCTTTTAACGAATTTTTAAAGATAATTTTTGAAGAAAAAATTCATTTCTCCCGAATTTCTGAAGGATAAGAAATGTTGGTTATTCGAAATGACTTTTGAGGACTCTTAACTCCAGGGTTCAATGTGAGAGAAGAGATCTTGAACCTTGAACCATGCCCTTGTTTGGACCCTCTTAATAGACTCTGACTCTACACCA